TTTACCGCAGAGGCTGTATTGCAAAAGCAGACGTCTCTACGCAAACACAGCTCGCCGGGCGTCGACACCATTCGTCCAGAGGCATTGGGAGCAGCAGCAAGCCAACTGGAAGGACCTTTAGCTCAGTTTTTCCAGCGCTGCTTAGACCAGAACCAAGTTCCCGCCATGTGGAAGCTTGGAATAATAACCCCAATTCACAAATGTGGAAGCAGAACTGATCCCTCCAACTACCACCCAGTATCCCTAATTCCTATACTCTCCAAGTTCATGGAATCCATGGTTGCCGATGCACTGGTGTTCTACCTAGAAAACTGCAACCTCATCACTCCTGAACAGCACGGTTTCTGTCGACAGCGGTCATGTACAACGAATTTACTAATTGCACGCAGTAGTTGGACCGAGGCGGCTGACACTGGAGAAGGTGCTGATGTGATCTACCTGGATTTTATCAAGGCTTTCGATCGTCTAGACCATCGGATACTTCTCTCCAAGCTCCAGCATTACGGGATTGGATACCCTCTTTTAAGCTGGATTGCCAGCTTTCTACTTCAACGGCAATTAGTGGTCAGAGTTCGGAGCTCTTTATCGGACCCCATACAAGTTGAGTGTGGTGTGCCGCAAGGCTCAGTTCTAGGTCCACGTTTGTTTTGGTGTTTATTAATGACCTTGCACAGGGAATCGCTTCAAACTTCCTAAAGTTTGCCGACGATATCAAGATCTGGCGCAGGATCCAGGCGAACGCCGACCAGCACCTGCTTCAGAGTGATTTATATACGGTGTATCGATGGTCGACCCAAAACTTATTGCATTTCAACGTCAGTAAATGCAAGGTACTCTCCATCCGACATCAGAACAGCTACTCATACCGACTCGTAACGAATATACTACAACAATCAACTATCGCACGTGACTTGGGTGTCCTGGTTCAAGATGACTTGGGTTGCTCCAGGCAATCCGAAAAGGCCTCGAAGACCGGGAAACAACACGTCGGGTTGTTGAGGCGGGCGTTTGGACAAATAAACAGCTCCATATTTCGACAAATGCTCAGTGCGTATGTTCGCCCCCATGTCGAATATGCAATTCAAGCCTGGCATCTATGGCCGAAACACGACCTTAATGCACTAGAGCAGCCACAACGCCGGGCATCTAAGAACGTAATTGGAATTCTCAATCTTTCTTACCAAAAGAGGCTGCAACGATTGGGATTGTTCACAGGAAGCTATCTCAGACTACGAGGCGACCTGATTATGGCATACTTGATTCTGCGAGACCCACATCATATGTGCCACCCTTTACTGCAACTCAGTAACCATACAAACCTGAGGGGCCACTCATTAAAACTCGCAGAACAATACAGTCGTCTGGAGTGCCGCAGAAATTTCTTTTCCATTCGTGTCTGCCACCCGTGTAATGCTCTCCCAGAATCGGTCGTCTCTGCACCGACACTAACAGTATTTAGAAGACGGTTGGATGATGCACTCATACACTTACACTTTGTTACTTGACACTACGTCTCCATCCTACACCTGGAGTTTACCATGGAATTGTTGGTTGTTAACTGTGGGTGCTATGAATCTAAGAGGATCGCAGGACTAAAGCGGAGCAAACGATTAGTCCTTATTTTCGTATTTAAAGTATTAACTATTTTACTATCCTTATCATCACTATTGTTATGTTGATATCCCCACCAAGTATCCAACGGGATTTGTAAAGCAACGCTTCTTAACCCGTAGAAATTCATTGTTTATTGTTCAACTGTCTCTTCAACAACCGTTCAGAGATTGACTGCCTTGCATTGCGGGGCTGCTACAACCAGAGATGAATAATAATATAATATTGACCGTGGATGAGACGCAGCGATCACTTGCTCAGCTGCGAAACGACAATTGCGCCGGTTCGGACCGAATCTCGCCAGAAGTGTTTAACTACGTTGGACCCGCTTTGGTAAATGTTGTGCACCACCGTGCAACATGTGTGGTATGAAGTGGTGCCACCTGACCTGAAAGATTCCCGTGGGCTACGACAGTCCAAGAAAAAAGAGAGCAAGCAATGTGCCACAGATTATCGTGTGTCAATTTGCTTTGATGCTTTGGGTAGGTTGCTTCCCGAATCCTTGCCAAGCGCCTCGTCACAAAGGATGTTGAACCGCACGTTGTGGAAGCGCAAGGCGGATTGCGCTCGCTCCGCAGCACCATAAATATGATCTTTACAGCTCATAAGTTGCAGGAGAAATGCTGGGGGCGACGCCAATTCTGGTACTCGCTGTTTGTTGACTTCACTAAGGCCTTTGACACGGTGGTGTTGGGTAAGTTTGGTTGTATGTTTGTATGTTTAACGGAATATCTGTATAGGGGTATGCGGGCGAGGGTGAAGCTCTGCGGACAAATCTCGCATGACTTTGCTGTTGTCTCTAGCGTGAAGCAAGGCTGTGAATTGGCTTCTTCGCTGTTTAATATGTACATACAATGACTTGTTGGGCTTTCGATGCTGCTTGTGATTACAGTGTCCGTGTTGAGCACCGTACTGATGGCTGGTTGCTGGACCTCCGTCGTATCGGGTCGAGAACCCGAGTGTGTGAGACAACCATCCGTATGTTACTGTTTGTCGACGAATGCACGTTGTCTGCACACGGGGCGGATGAGTTGCTGAACATCACTTACACTCTCGTTTCGACTGTGGCCAAATTCGGACTCACCTACAACACAAGCAGGGCCGTCAGTCCCTTTCAGCCTTCCTCGGAATTGGAATTCGTGGACCCGCCGCAAATCCAAATTGGCAACGACGTTTTAGAATCCATTTCGATATTTTCCTTTATAGACAGCGTAATTTCTACTGATCTGCAGATGGCGAGCGCACTGCGCATGTGGGCATCGAAGGTGGCTGTGGTATTTCGTAAGCTGGAAAAACGTGTGTGGAACAACCACCAGCTCATTGTCGGTACGATGCATATGGTATAAAAGTATATGGTGCTGTCCATTCATCCATAATGGCAGGGAACCCTGGACGCTGTACCGGAAGGATATTCATTATTTGAAGTGCTTCCATCATCAGTTTCCACGTCTTATTCTGCGCATCGGCTGTGGTGACGGAGCTACAGACACGGAGGCGCTCCAACCCACTGGCATGCATGCAGTGGACTGTATACTTCTGCTAAGGCATCTGAGGTGCCTCGGATATGTTCGCCACATGGTTTTAACCCGGATACCGAAACAGCTGCTTGATGGTCAACTGCGTGCGGGGAAGTGGCAAGTGAAAAAACCCTAGTTACGTTACCAGAACATATGATCAAGGTGAGTTTATCACGAACTAATTTTGATCTCAGGTGCACGAGAAATCACTGTTGCATGCGGCAATGTAAAGTTGGTTGAGGAAGCGACAGGCGTCGATGGTGGATAGCCCGTCGACGTCGAGCACGTTGTGTAGTTGCACATACGGACGCGAGTGCCCGAGTCAAGCTGGCTCAGTAAGCCACCAGCGTCACCACTTTGGATCGAGGTCTAAGAGCAGACGAATAAACTAAATATATAGTCATCCTTAGTATCGAGAAGCCTGGTAAGTTCGCTGCTTAAGACATAACTTCTAGGCCAGGCGAATAAGGCGGTTGATGTGGTACGTGTGCTACATCATCGTTGCATATAAACTGTACGTGTGCCTGCGTGTTGATTTTCTTGCACTTCATGTGTTAGCTGTTGATGAATATCTCCGGTGTGATTATGCTTCTTGCGAATGTTTACTTCCCCACTTGTATATTTCGCTCCACCTCGTCATATAATGGTACCAGATGACTGTGGAACGTTGCTAGAGGGGACCGGGTGCGCGGTCCTCATGACCTTGCTAGGCTCAAAGTGTGATTCTTTGCATCTATTGGGGAGCGCACTATGATCCAGCCACGGCTTAATGTACGTCTGGAACGCACGATTCCCCAATTGGACTGACTGGTATGTTGCTGCTGTACATGTTGAATGAATGTGAGCTGGTCTTGTTGATGAAACGATGCACTTATCCACATGCTCCTATATTTGTCCTCCTGCTTTACATTGGGTATGAAGTGTATGAAAGGAGTTGTGGGTGGTGCAGAGCATGCCATCCGTAGTCATGGGGCTGTCCCCCCTGAGACCGAAGTGACGTGCAAATCCAGAACCGGATGCCGCCATCCATGAACAATGAACAATGATTTATAACGGGCAAAAAACAGGTTCTTGACATGTCCCGTAGGATGTTTAGAGTGAGAAAAGATAGATCAAGGGATAATGGTATCGTCAGGTCAGACGATTACACATTTAACTGCGCTGCCGTAGGAAGGGTTTGAAATTATAATCTACGCACATGTATGCTGTTTTACTGCTCAGATCTTTTGGGCTGCTAAATTAAGTCCTGTGAATTCCTACAAGCCCGAGCATATTATAACGGTCACCTCGAAGTGGCATGCTGTTCTATTCGCTATCCAATTCATCGGCCTTGTCAGTCACACCAAACAGGTTGACTGCTTGTGCAACATTTACTCTTATGTACACTGTGTCGTACAGAAACATGGTCTAAATTTTTCGTAAATGCCCTGCAAGAATTTCTATGCCCTGGAAATTTTTTGCTATCTGGCTATGCAGAACCCAGAAGCTTGCATCCGATGACTACCAGTCTTGAAGTTTACGGCATCGCCTAGTTTGGTAAATGCGTTTGAACAGAGTTCTGGCCACGCGTAAGCGTGACTTTATACACGAATCGATAATCGCTCACTGCTGATCACACAGTGTCATTCTTCCGAATTCGTGCATGCGCGTAGGTCGCTATTTCTAACTTTTACAGTTGGGGCACAAAAGCTAAAAGTTAAGCTGATGTTCCATCTAACCGGTTTATAGTTATATTGCCACTCAAGATTAAAAAATTTTGTGTGTACTAAGTTCTGGGTGCTTGAAGGAGAAAGAAAGGAAATAGCATCGAATTGGATCGGCTGAAACGATTCGTATTAGAGGCCAGTCAAAATAGAACATCATGAAACATACCATGAAATGCACTCGGTTGAGGCATACTAGCTACCTGCGTCCATCGGTTGTCTACCGGATCGTATCGATGTACACATTGCAAAAAATTGGAGGCGTTCATCCCACCAAAAAGGTAAATCGCACCTCGGCAACTCAACAACGCGGAAGCCTCGTGACTGTGAGGGAGAGTGGGAAAGCAGTATGAGACTGACGAAGAAGTAAGCTGTAACGCCACAATGACAGTATTTGAAAAACAGTTTAGTACAAACAAAATGCTCTTATCAACATTCTGATCAAAACTGGTTGTAAGAAACACATTGCGTGACACTGATTTCCACTTGCTGCTATTTGCCATCAGTTTTGCTTCGGTCTTGCCTCCTTGATGGAGATAGTCCGGCCGAGGTCCAATCCAGCAGACCCAGTAGCTGTTGACAAAACCCTTCAGCCCATGAACAATATTTGTTTAGAATGTTAAAAAATTGACGTTTTTACTCGAAAGCTTTAAGCTGCATTGCTTACGTAGGTACAGACACCGAAAGTATCGCCACGTGAACTGAACTACAACTGAGTAAAAACGATCTTTGAAACTATGCTCAGAGTGGAATGTTTTGCTTCCTGGCTAAGACATACAGTTAGCATCCTGGGACAATCGTTAAAGAATAACAATGAAATGTATAAATCATTCCAGGCATTAACGTCGGCGGGCTATACGCCAGATAGAGCACACGAAGTCAATTCAGACATCAAAGCAAGGTGGTGTTGGCTGGATACTAACAAATTTACTTATTAGCAGATTTCAGTGGGGAGAAGATTTGATGATTAGGTGGGTTATTTGATATCTACGCACATCAAACCACAGCATGGTTGGTCACTTTAGACGAATATCTGCTTGGCATTGCAAATTAGAAAGCAGTATAATTTGCAAGCAGGTTCGCTGGTGACCGGTTAAGTTTGACAGCGTATGTGCAGAATCGACGATCCCACATGGTGAATAATGCTTACGCAACACCCAAAAATTGCTACGATAGCTGCATATCTCCAACACTTCTAACTTGTTCCATCCGCACTTAACAAACGACGAATAGTGAGAAATTCTCCTCCGAGGAGAAATTTCATTCGAATGGCTTGGCGTTTCCATGTTTCTATTTTACTGATCACCTCAGACTCGGCTGACACAACAATCACGTACTGGTGGCCGCCACTCTGCGGTGACAAGAGAGACGCTATTTCATGCTGAACTTGTGTATGACGAAATGCATAGTAACCGTCGGCTAACGTCTATGCAAAGTGAAATTCTACTTTAGAATCACATATTTACTAACTAATTGACAAACATTCCATCTTGCAAATACCATAATGTAAGACTGCTTAATGTGCTCTAAGGATTAAGCGACTGCTTACTTAGTAACAAATAGATGAACAAACATCTGTTCTCAACAAAGCGAGACGCGCCCTTATCGGAAATAACTTGCTGAATTCGCTTTTGATGCAAACATTCACTAAAACCCCAAAAGCCAATGAATTTCGCGACACAGCTTCTGCTTGTTTTCAGAATCATGCCCTTAACCATTCGTAGAAACTAGCAATACGAAAGTATGCTTATCATCAGACACGAAAACTTCAATAGCGAGCTGCAAATGCTGGTATTCATTCTGCATACTCTCGTTTACATACTATTGGTTATAATACCTTCGGCTTCATTCTGGCCTGTTGTTCGTATAAATACGAATAACAACTTCCAGTAACTTCAGTTGGCTAGTTAAATGATTTGCTTACCGACTCTGGCTACCTTCAATCAAGGTGGTAGATCCAGTTAGTAATTGGACAAATGGTTTACACCAAATATTGCGCCAAATAATGTCCCCCCAGATTTGCCTGAGGCTAAACAGATCAAGACGAGTTACATATAGTCTCAAATTAGCCACATGGGACAACACAAAATATAGGTTTTACAAACTTGAGGTATCGGATCGTTGGTAGAAGTTTTCGTACCAGCATGGAATCTGCAAGGAAAAGTACCTAGGTGCCCAGCTCTACTTCCTTATCGACCATGTTTAACTGGAGACTTTCATAGCCATATCCAAGTTGAAAAGGAGGATAACCGATTCCTCAGCCTACTTCTTTGCGTCTTTGCCCCAATATGTTTTCTATCGACCCTGTTCACTCAGATGCATTAATTTCTCCTAAGAATAGAGAAGGAGAAAGCAAACAGAACTCCATTTTATTTGCTTTTAGTTCCTAGCGTTTGTTTGTTTAGCAGCATAAAGAGAAGAATTAGCATGCGTGTGTGTTTCCATATCCACTGGCTAATCACCTACCATAAATTGGACGTCTGTCCCACCGTTCTTGTGTCTAATAGTATTCATTCTTCCATACAGGATGGTAACATACGGCTTTCCATAGCTGAATCTGGAAAACTTCCAAATGGGCCAATCGGACTAATGCATGCAGCTTTTTATCAGCTCTTCGAAGCTAACATATTGTGGTAATAGTTATACATAATGTTCTTCTTTTATGTCGGATGTCGTACGCAAACGCATCGAACTGGTGGACATGGGCAGTTCTAAATTCCAGTGAAATCACTTGAGCCCGAAGCACAAAAAGTACAAAAAGAAAATTAGGGAGCACTAAAGGACTCCAAACACACCTTATAATTTTTAATGTTCCAATGCTACCGCTGCTCTCTATCTGTTAATCTCTGTAGATCTATATAGTCCTCTAATTTTTATTCGAGCCCCTTGGAACAACTGTCGTTCTATGGATTTAACTCTTCGCTGAAATAGCTTCTCGCAAAGTCGAGGCATATGCTATATACATATTTGTTCACTGGTTCATTGTAGGGGACTTTTGTATTATAATTGGTATATATCACGAACGACTACATGATGATCAGATGCACGAAAATCACTGGGAGTTCATTTCATCCTTCTGAGAAGCGTTGGCAGTCCACGTTATGTATAAATGCCTGGCAATTTATGGCAAAACCTGGAAACAAGAGATAAAACTGCTGCTGTGCATTGGCCATGAGAATGTCCCGAACTTGAGTACCAAGCAACATGTGTTTGTGATGTCCCTCAAGCAGTCTGTCTATTGAGCAGGACCTAAACAACTTGAGTTTCTACGGTGCAACGTAAAACCTTCGTTATATCTGACCGACTATTGCTTGATATCAATGTCTGCAGTCTATGCAAATCAACCAAACAACGTTTTATCCTGTGAATCCTGGCTGAAGTGCAGACCAGAAAATAAAGTGAAGCTGCGAGCTCAAATGGGAAGCGTAAACTTTCGGGTACTTCGCTCCGATTTCCATCCCTAAAACGTATAACATCGGCCAAAAATGCACCTAATTCGAGGAAACCTACCCTACTACAAGTTGACCTTAGAAAAGTTATTTACAATAATAATAGGTATATTTCTCATCGAGTGAGAAACAGTAGCCATATTTGGCACCGATCATATTGTGCAGAATATCTCCTGCTCATGCATGAATGGTAAACCTTTAGGTGATTTTCATTGCTTTTGCTGTTTCAACGGTTTGTAGTAACTCACAGGTATGTCTCAAGGCAATGGGCACTAAACGGGATAGTGAACGGTAACAGCAAAAGGGGTGTGTCACACAGTATGAAAATGTTTTTTACTCATTAGACATTGTCTGGCCCTTCTTGGTAGAAATCATCAACTGGTCTCTCCCAAGAGAACAGTGTCATAATCGTGTTCAAATTTAGGTAATTGATGAGCTTAACGCGAAAGGCCGTTGCGCTCTCACACGATCTGATTGTGACTGGGAGCTTATTCCACAGGACAGCATTTCTGATAAGGAAACAGTTAGAGCGCAGATTTACTTTGCTCCTGGGTACACTCAGGGTAAACTCCTAATTGCGTAGCTCCCTTGTCGAACAATGTTGTAGTTCTAGGGAGGGCAAATAGCAGTGGGCGTTTTGATGAATCATGTTGCACAGAAGCATCAGGTTATGTCTCAATCTTCGTAGCAGAAGCAGATCGAGCCGGAATCGTTGGCAGCCCTCCCGACAGATTTTAGTGAATGTTTTGCCTAGCACACATTTTGTAAATGACCTTTGTATGCTTTCCAGAGATACTCTGTCAGATTTCCTCACGCTGCCACAAATGATACTGCAGTATTCCTAAATGGGTTATGTTACGACAGAATTGATTCAATGGTTCACCGTTTTGACAAGACGTTCAAGACACTGGAATCAGTTAGCTTTTGCGCCTAATTAAGTGTTTCACTTTTATGAAATATAATAATATCTTACGATATGCTACCTTTGGCAGCAAGCACCACGTGGTTTTCCACAGTAAGGAAGTGCTCTCCGAAACTTCCGTTTGCCTGTGGTTAACAGGGTAGGGAGTTTAACGATTTACCTGGATACAACCTGAAGCAGAGTTAACATAATGGATGATACGAACGGTCGTCGACAAGAACCCACGTTTTTTCCTAGAAGCCTACTACATACGACAAAGAGAGAGAGAGAGAGTAGCAACCAAATTGCGTTGGTTTTAGTGGTTGTAGAGTAAATAGCGAAGTGTGTGGTGACTGTTCAGACCAAACAGTCACAAATGTAATACGTAAATGATGGTATATTTCCTTGCCCGGTACACAGATGAAAAGGGGTCATTGAAAAGATCTATCCGGATTAAGCTTAAGATAGGCAGAAAGGTGGAACATACACCTGTCAACATTAAGCACACCGGTAAAACTGGTCCTGAGGGAAAGTTGAACCGACATGGGCAAACTATTCAAATATGACTTTGCCTCTGTTTGCCAAAACCTCGCGATAACGAGACATCTCTGTTTTGATGGAAGATGTCTTTACTATGTCGAACACAAATGAGTGGTCTGAAGACTTTGACTATGTCAAGGTAGCTAAGGCAGTACTTTCACCAGATAGCATAAATTTTTCAACATAATCTCTTATATGATTACACCATGATATCGCTACTTAGTTGGTGTTCTGTTCCTCGTGTTGTTCCTACATCATGGAGGATCGGTGGATCTCCGCCTCATAAACCTTGTGTGTGGACTCATTTGCAATCATTTTTGCGTTTCGGTTCGAGTCATTTGAACTGGACTGAAAACAACCCTAGCAACAATGAAATACCTGTGATGAGACTGTAGGGTTAAATGGCGTTATCAGCTCTTTTGGTCAATAGCAGCCTCGTGGTAAATCATGTCCCTACGGAAAGAGTGTAAGGCTCTCCTGTCTGAAGTAGGCGCTGGGGTTGGCCATAGATCGTAAACGACACTCCGGTCACCAACACCACCCTAGGCGATCCATAGTGCTCTTTGTAAACACAACCTCATGACTGTGGCAACCAACTTCTTTGAAGGCATGGCCGGTCTTGTGGTTGGTTCTTTTCACGCAGTAATCACGAGGTCAATTGTGATAACCCTAAATAGTCAATAAACGACTGAGGGGTTATATAAGGACAAGTTTAGAGATCGAGAAGAAAGAAGCCGCAAAACCACAGTAAGGAAGTCAGTTTATCAGGGCTAAGGGCCGTACACAGCGGGAGTAATGACACTGTCTACACAAAGTCGCTTCATGTGCACAAAGGTTCAGATGGAACAATAAAAGCGATAGTGTAACCACCAGTGAATGTACAATGGAACTATGAAACATAGATTATAATGGAGGAAAGTAAAATCCAAATCTTGCAAAAGGGGATTAACTAACATACGCATTGGTAAAGCGATTGAGCAATGCATTAGGTTAGGTGGATTGTGTGAGTGCGATAGTTCCGGGCCGAACTAGATACCGAATTGTAATGGTTAACGCTCATTGCAAATAACAATCAGATTGCTCATTCCTCTGCACATATTTACATGGGACACTGTGACACATAATTTACAAAGCTAGTTAATCGGAATATATCCAGAATAGTTATTCATGTAACAAGGTGCGGAGCGTTCCATCTGATATCCAGTCATTTTTGAAAACAGCTAAGATGCAGACACAGACAGCTGAGTTTGGATGGGCGTTATAGGGTTGGCAGACATCGAGGGAGGAAGATGCTCGTCGACAATATAGACGACTGTACTGTTGACTCAGTTTCAGGCTATTGCCTCTGAGGTTGGTGTTCGGACTAAGTTTCAAAATGTGGCGGTATACATCCTTTGGGTCGCTCAGTATTTGGTATACTAATATGAGGTCTACACGTAATCCCCGGTTGCGTCCACTGAACACTCCGAGTGACTTCAGTCATTGCTAGTACGGAAGGTGATGTATTCCCTTGACAACTTCCGTTACAGTACATTGGGGTTTCAAGTGCTGCCATCTCACACATTAGCCAAGAATGCCAAGCCTGAATTGCGCATTCGACTTGGGGATGCTCCTGGGTGTTGAGCATCAGAAAAGGTGGATGAATCCAAACTCCCGAATGCCCTCCACAAGAGACCAATACTATTGGTACCTATTGTTGAAGCGGACTCTGACTGTCTGGAACAACCGAGGTTGTCCTGTACCAGCACACCGAGGTTCCCTTCCTGATAACACGTCTGCTGGTCGCGCATCCCAAATTTGTAAATTTAGGCTTGTTGGTAGCGGATATGAACAAAGTGGCACTTGTGCACACTGAATGACAATGCTCTCCTCACCGAACAATGCTATGCCTCAATAAGGTCGCGCTGAAGGATCTCGTGGTTGTCTATTTACTTGATCGCCCACAAAACTTTGACGCCGTCAGCAAAGAGTAACAATTTTGAGTTGATAAATCTCTCTAGAATAAGAAAGGCCCAAATACCAAACCCTGATACAGCGTACTTCACTCGAATCAGGTCGGACAGAGATATTCGCATTCTAACCTTCAATTATCTTTCGCGGAAAAAGTTATCAATCCATCCTAATATTGGACCTCCGATATCGTAGTGTTGAGGTTTATACAGCAGGATTCGATAATCCAAGAGATCGAAGGCTTTCGACAACTCCAGGTAGAAAACATCGGTTCCAGTCCCCTTGTTGAGTGTTTCCGTCCAGTTGTCCCTCCATTTGCGTGATCACACGTAGAACCGTCATGGAATTAATGGTAAAACTAGTGCTAATTGGAGCGCAGCGTGTGTCATCAGCTAAACACCATACCGCAATGTAAACAGAGCTTAAAAAGTGTTGCGATCCTCAGAACCACTGCCGAGCATTCTGGCGGAAGATAAAAGACTGTTTGCCACCCTTGCAAGATTGTACGGCAAGCTGGTTTGCTATCCACCGATGGACATTCTTCTATTAACACGCATGCTTCGCTTGAGGTGAAGAAATTTCTCCCAAGACCGATAGTTCATTAAAACATTGGCATCTTCGAGCCCATGATCCCGTAGAGCTCGTGGGTAAACCCCAGTGTCATTGCGGTCATAGTCACGGGTACATGACGGCAGTATCTCACAGACTAAATTAAACCATTCGTGATCAAATATTGGGTTAACTACTACATGTTTAGCCATACCCAGTTGCCAACACACAAACAAAAATTTGCTCCAGACGATAAATATAATAATTTTCACCTTGCTTGCATTAACGAATTGGAAAATGAGTTATGCTTTCATTCACCCCTATGATATCAATAAAAGCATATTTCTAGTTCTGTTGTACAGTGACGGTGCTTTATCCACCTACTTGCTTTGGCATATCGTAATAATAACTTACTTTATGTTATGTGAATGCCACAGTAGGCAATCAAACTTTACTGTATGGCATAATACTCAGTAACAGAAACTCCATTTGATGTAGCTTTGTTAGTATTGTCAAGCCCGCACTGAAGACGTTCTCAGTTCCAACAAATAGTCTTCTACTCGGCGTTATATTTTGTTGCATATATGTGTACACATGATTTTAAACATAATCTACCTATTGGCATTGTGTGTCGCAATCTGTTTACACGGCGTATAACACACTAGGATTGGCGTACCCCAAATAGCTGCTGTCAGACATCATCTACGCTAATCACCCAACCAGTGAAACAAGACATTTAACGAGTTAATGCAAATTGTCGGTGAGAAAATATACCTCAAATACCTTTACCTTAGTTTTCTTGTCAATCAAAATCCGACCATGTTGTGTTCAGCAAGGAATGAACGATAGACGCTTGCCTGCCCTTCCCATTTGTTAATGTATGTCTGAGCACAGTTGGACCTCGAATTAAAACAAACTGAAGAAGCAATGAATTGATTTGGAAATGCGAACGAAAGGATCAATAGACAATCCGACTACTCAAAATAGTGAATCCACAGTGCCATGTTTATTGCATAAAAGAGACTCACACTACAGGGAGCGGAGCCACTGCCCTCCATTTCCCAGCAACCGTGTCAAAGCAGTCTACAGACGTCTCATCCACGCCACATGCGACGTACAATTCCGTATTCAGCATGCACGTAGCCAAGCTCATTCGAGCTTTAGGCATTGGTGGCAAGCATTGCCACTTATCAGTTCGAATATCCAACATTTCGCATGAGGATAGGACTCCACCTATGGAAGCAAGAATGAGTGGTTAATCAGATTTTGCCCTATACCGTTTTCTGTTGCATGTGTTAATGATAAGGTTAAACAGTGGACATCGAACTTTCCTAGAGCAACTTGTGTCTCCTTTATTGTAACCCCTAAAAACTTATCATAGCTCTGATCATTGCCAATGCGAATTCATCCCCCTCTCAACCGACTGGCGTGTTTCCGCAAAAGCTGAACCCTTAATCATGATAGCAAACGGAAAAGTGGGCAAACAGTTCAAGGAGAAGTGACTTTCGGGTGAGTACCAGGTGTTTATCTGCTAGCAATGCATGCACTCCTCAGATAGAGAAGGCAAGACCGTGACTCAAACTTGGATTGTCTGACAAGTCTGCGGAAATCTCGTCCCTTAAGCCACCAAATTTCAGCCGGTGGATCTTGTTACAACAGTTATTGACCCGTTGGAGAGGTCATTTTGAGACATAAACTGGCACAAAGGTAATGTTTCATCTAACAAAGTGTTACGCAATGTCTTATCTACCTGTAGCGTCGCGACCTCCAGTTACGTAGACGATCAGCTCAGTTGAAGTGACACCATGCCAGCTGCGACCGGCTTTCATTGTTGGACCGACCATCCACTCTTCGAGAGGAATAACATAGACGTCCACCGAATGCATTGCGTTTGTTGGCATCCCACCGACGAGGAATACATTGTTGGTCACATTTGCAGCGCCAAAACCTTTCCTCGGACAAGGCAGGGCTTGAAGGTTCGGGTGGGTGATTGGAGTTAAGTAGAAATAGGAATGTGGGTCTGTTAGTAGACTTTCCCGATCTGGCAGACTTGAGTCTCGTGTTTCTTCACCAGAAGAGAATGAAGACTTTCGAGCTCGGAAACATACAATATCTCGTAGCAGCTTCTTATCCTGAGTTCTTCCACCGAGAATTGCCAAAATATAATTACCCTGAAATCGGAAAATTACACTTCATATTTACGATCACACGCACCTTCAATAGAATGGACCGCATGTATATAAATGTGTTGAGTCGTAGTGAGGTTCCGCGAGAAATGACGATTTGGACAAAACAGCTTTCTCCTACTTGGCCATTAGTGAAAGGGAAGTTGGATCAATTTCAAGTGCGAATCATCAGGGCTACACAGTCAACCAGCCGCCAAAAGTCGTGAGCCTCGATCAAAGCGTAACTCCATGGTCTCCTAGGTGAAAAATTGAATAAAAGCAGTATACTTATAAGTAGTAAAAAGCCTGATAAATATACCTGGTTGGCATCATCCGGTTCTGGATTTGCCTAGCACTGCAACCTCTATAGGCAACCCCGCGCCTACAGTGGGGTCATGGCTGGTTTGCTCTGCTCCATCCACACACCTCCGTTCCAGCGTAAACCATGATGAGTAATATCGGGAGGCATGTGGACTGGTGCCAAGTTCCATCAAAGAAGTAAGCTCACAATCATTCATTTGCAAGACAGAAGCATTCCTGTCTATCGAAGTTGGGAATCGTGTGTACCAGGCAATGGCTGGACCGTAGTTCGCTTTAAACTGGATGGAACCACTCTTTGAGTCTAGCACAGCCGGGAGAAATGTGCACCCACTTCTCTCCCCACAGCAACGATTCACCGTCTCCTGGACCCAGTTACCCACGTAAGGTAGGCACGTTGTCAACATTCACATCAAGCGCAGCCACATCGGGGATATCAAGCAAACAACACAACATTTGTAGGAAAATAAACACGCAAAACTGACACCGAATATGCAGCAGAATAAATGAGCAAGTCAAATAACATTGAATACATTTTATTTATGTTATGTGGATCTAGTTGAAGAGTGAGTTGGTGCTGCTCAACTGCGGTGCAGAAGCAGAAACCTCTCAGTTTGGTAAATGCAAGGCAGGCCTTTACTCTCTGTTGTGAAACTTCCACTGCAACACTAATACCAAGCGTGGCGCAACTCCCTAGATAAGTACAGCAAGTGATTTATTCCAAAGTGTCACCAGCAATGATTAGCTCAAGTCCAGTCACCTATCAATCCGGCCGTAGTGTCTTGTAACTGGCTGGGATGAAGTAGAGGCCATGCATGGATGCTTCTATAGTTAAGCGGTTCAAACCGCTTTGCAATACTTGTTGATCGCTCCACTGCAAAGCGATAGCATCGGTGTAATCCACGTTCACGACCCTGTCGCTAAGGAGAATATTAACGCCACCGGTTTAGACACCAACTGCTGGTGAGACGGAATTTTGATGACGCAAATTGAATAAGAAAGTTGAAATAGGTCAGCCTTGGTGAAAGCCGCTCGTGACAGCGGTTAAAGAGATAAGCCAGTCGCAAACCCTCACCTTGCTCAAACCCGTTCTCTCGGGACGGTTACAAATTTGTCAAGCACACCTTCGCTTAGTAAGTAATTCCACAAGGCAAACCTACCTACTGAAACAAATACCGCTCGGTTGTCTATGAACACTACGATTACTGGTCGTCTGTGGATTTAAAGGAACTTGGGAAGTTTTCGGAGTGAAAAAGTTAGTTGATGCTACCTCTACCTGCACCAAAACCGGCTTGGTACACCATAGAAAAACCCTACCTGGTGGCTGAAAACCTGCGAATACGGACACAAAAAGCAGGGACGCAACAGTAATTGACAAATTGCGCGGTAACTGGCGCCATTATCACAGGAGTCTTTCTTGTGTATCAGTTCAACGCATCATTCTCCTCAAACCTTTGGAAAATACTCCCAGTTTAAACCTTCGTGAACAGCGATAGGATTTAGTTGGTAAGTGCGTCCATGCCGTCCTTGAATAGTGCCGGTGGGAAGCTGTCAGAGAGAGGAGGTGAATGACGTTTCAAATATTGGATTGGTTGCGGAGCTCAGCCCCGATAGGAGGATATCTGGAACAGGCCATGCACCATCAGATGGGAATGGAGGTGTCACAGAGGACTGCGCTGGGCAATGAACTTGAAAAGCAAAGTGTTCTGTCTAGCGATCCAAGTGACTGTGTAGGTTTGAGGTTTTCGTGCTGTTCAGCTCACAGGTTGTCTGAATGATAGTATTTGAATAGCAACCGATGGTCTTTATAAGATAAAAAGCTGCGGCATTTTCCAATTGATGCAGTGGCCTTTATCTCAGCTGTTCAGTCACCGCTGTTATATCCTGGCAGGATCAAATCACAATAAGCGGCGTCGCCCTGGCAATCGGGAGCTCAAATGAAGTCTGTGTAAGGATTGCGAGGTTAGGTGGCTTGAGCGTGCTGTGGAGTTTGAGCCATCTGCCCTCTTTGGCAACACCCGCTGCTTTGCCGAACAACCACTTTTTGGTGCTGGCTGGGTGCTTCTGGTCTTTCCGTTTCAGCAAATGACTCTGCGGCAGTTTCAGGAAGTGATAGCATTTCCTTTAGCTAGCCTTCTTCATATGAAAAGCCACATATTGCTCTTTATCAATGCTGCGACGTGATATATGTGACCCGCCAATCAATAAGGTTGAAACGCATCGCTTCACTCGAGTAGAGCATTGTATTCCAGCAATCGGATGCTCAAATGTGGTGAATTGAGTCCCTGTTTGGTAATCAACCAAACGAAAGGCTTATGAACTGTGCAATCGTTCACCTGCTTCCAATAGGCTTGATTCCCTGTGTGCGCTCCGCTGACTTGTGCGTGGGCTATTTAGCCAAATGTTCTGCGTGGGGTAACCTAAATCAACCGTATCTGGTATTTCATTCAGGCGACTTCGCCATACGCTAACTGCTTGTTTATTAACAATCCTTGTATCTGTTACCTGACTCCTGTCTTTATTGATCCATCTGCGATTCCGGTTGTACCTCAATCAGTGGATTTCAACCTGTGGCTCCACTCTGACCCCAATCCTCGTTATGTCTGACATGTTGCAACGTACGGACACTATTGAAGATTAGAAAGCAAGCCGATCTACCGTGCACCCTAGAGTCCCTTGATGTTGACGTCTGCTGCCTTTCCGAAACCCGACGGCAGAAACCCAGAGGTGTGCTTACGCGGACAACCCCACAGCCCCACAAACCACGAAACAATATGTCACCTGCTTCTTCCTAGTTACCCAGAAGCAGCCTCACCGAGCTTGGTTGGTGTAGGTACATCATTAAGTGACTAGGTCAAGGCCGCACTGTTGGACTAGTACCCGGTTAACAGCCGACTGCGTACAGTTTGTCTTCGGGGTTCAAGAAGAATGAACATTCGTCGTGAGGAGAGAAGCGAAGTGCTTGTGTTCTCCGGGTACGCTCCAAATGAACATAGTAGTGACTCGGTTAAAGACGAGTTCTATATGGAGATTCATCATCTCTTGCCTAACGCCAACAAATCGCATGTCGTTGTCCTCGCTGGGGATTTTAATGCAATGGTTGGTCTCCTCTTACCATACGGACATCTGCTTGGTGGTCACCACTTGCACGATGAAGGCGGCTGGGAAAACAAAGTGAGGCTTCGCACATTGCGCGAAGATAATTAACTGTTTCGCTGGAGCATCAACCTCTGGCATATAAAAAAGAACTTTCAGGAACTTGGCGTATTCCTTCACAACATAAGCGTGGTCCTTAATGGATAACATTGAAATCAGCTTCAAATGGATGGTACCTTACGAGCATGCAAACCATTCGGGTCTGCCTTCATTGACTCAGATCACGCGTTGGCCCATCCTAACATGCGCTTGTGTTTTGGGGGGTCACCAACAACGAAGCACCGCAAGATTCATGCGAACAGCTTAGCTGATTACTCGGTGCAGTCGAGCTACCAGTATTCACAAGCAGAAGCGCTCCATTGCAATCCACCGCATGATACGGAGCACCACTGGACTTGTATACAGAAATCGATGTATGTATGTATGTATCCACAACAGTCTATTAACTAGACATAGAGCCAGAATAAAACCATGGAGATTAGGGGATAAGCAAGAATCATCGCGTCATAATCACCGTGGCATGCTAGTTGAAGGTGAGCAACACACTTCAACTAATATGCCGCAGGAAGAATAGAACATTTTGACAAAAAGTAGAACAAAACATTTTTAGTTTGTTTTCACGCGCCGTTTTTGCTCTTTTTTTGTCAGTTTAAGGTTTGTAGTATTAAACACGTGAATCAATACAATACTGTACACAATTCTTCCGTTGATTCCGGCTGCGGGCCATGTCTTCTAGTGTGTTAAGCCATTGGCACTCCTCATCTTTGGGTCCCCATCCTGGAAGACGTACGGATCCAACAGCGGCTAGATACGACGTCAGCGATTTCATGTGTTGCCGCCATGTGGAATGCTGAGCACCACGCGGTCGCCTCCAGCCAGGTCCTTGACGAGCGAATAGAGCGCGACGCGGTTGACGCTCAGGTGCCAGGCGTAGGACGTGACCGAGCCATCTTAACTGTCGCAACAAAACCAGTTTGTTGAAGAGAATACTCGCATTCCCCAAGATGCGACGTCGGACGTCATTATTATTAACTCGATGTTGCCACCAAACACGAGCGATACAGAAATCGATAATTATTAAACTACACAATTTGCCTACAAGGCTCGAGTGACACGTTCCACCAGAATCAAATCGAGACCGAAGTCGGAACTGGACAACGGTACTACAGAAAAAATCTCCGTAAGTTGACCACTCAAGTTACTGCAAGCAAGTGGCTGACGCAGAGTGGTGCTTAACACACAGGGATCTTGATCTATAACATTAACATGGTGAAGGTACATGCAATGGAAATTAAAATGGTCAACTTGGGGAAGTGGTCAAGAGTTGGAGGTGGCCAACTTTGGAGCGGTTATATGATGTACAAAAAGGTAAGCATTCAGAATACATAATCATCGACGACGCTTCTAACTCAAATCGTCTAACCTGGCAGGCAGATTGGTGCAGAGGCCAACAAACTAGGCATCAGAGTCACCCGACGTGAATTTACGAGAGCAGAGTGCACAACCTTCTTGTGTGACAGACAAAATGATGGAAATGGTCACTTGCATGAATAGGATGACGGCGATGCGAGCACTGAAGTGGAGTGAGGTTGTTCTTAGCGGAACTTTCGACAGTAGGGTCACAAAGCACTGGTGTAGACAACGGGTAAACAGATAATGTTAATCGGTGCAGAATACTTGCTGAACAGATAATTGTAATCGTTGCGAGCACTGAGTTAACATACATTAATCGGTGTGAAAGTAGGGTGTAGCTGTAGGTGAGGGTCATTGAATGGTAAATGGAAAGGCGCATAAAGTTCATAGGAAAGTGCCCCAAACGAAAAGGAAAGAACGTAGGTTTAGAGATGGAGTTTGCTGATTATGATCCCAAGACAGGTTTTACACGTTTGGACATATTTACAACAGTAACGTTGAGGGGAATTGTATTCCCGGCGTCCATATGTCCTCTAATATGATCCTTTACGGACAACCAAGCAGTGGCCTAGCTCGGGGTTTCTTAAATGCTGGATCTCTTCTCGCTTTCTAGAGCTATTCAGCCGTCGCACAGCTATCTAAGCAGGACCAAAGTACAATAAGCGGTGTGGCTCTGATAATCGACAGCCTGAGGAATGCCTGCGCAACTATAGCGAGCTTTGGTGGTCTTAACGGGCTTTGAAGATAGAGTCCGTTGCGCTGCCTCCCAAAATTTCAAGAATTTCCAGCTAACTCAATCCACTGACCTCAGGAAGGCTGATGTCAGTGAGATTATCTACAAGGCGGACGGGTCTCCGATCACCAACCAACAGTGGCGTATAAACCGATGAGCCGAGTATTTTCAGTGCAATTCAACTGGCCTCCCCCGTCCATCTCTGCACGCAATACACATTGTTTCCCACCCTGGTTCGTCCCACTGGATCCACCCAGCGAAGCGGAAGGCTGCCTCGAGATTCGGCTCTTTGAGTAAATCAAGGCCGCTGACGCAAACGGCCTTCCTCCGGGGCTGTTTAGGTACGACGGCATGGTAACCACTAACCAGTTGACCTCATTATTTGTAAATAGCTGGCATGAAGAAAAGGTGTCTTCTTCTTCAGACAAATCAGCTATTGTCATTAGTTTCAAGAAAGACGCTCGCACTTCACGTGGAAATCATCAAATATTCACGCTCCGCCAAATCCGCGGTGCCCGCCGACTCTCCCAGAGGCCCACTATCATCACATTTCTAGGCATACGTGCTGCTATAAAATGTGGTGCTAAGGAAATATACCACCACCCTACGCGCACTTTACCTTCATACCTCCGGCAGAGTGGAGTTCTACTATATCACTCCTTGCCCTATGTTTTCAATAGCAGTCTGCGACAAGGATGCCCTATGTCCGCATTCCTCTTCAACTTTGTAATCGATGAAGTCTTGTCTAGTGCTCTGGAATGTTTCTAAAAATTTTGGCTTAGTGAATCTACAGAATGAGCATACGACCGACTAAGACTATGTTGATGATATCGTCTTGTTTGGTGACAATCCACGGAGTATGCAACTTATTCAAAACCTTTTCACGGTCTAAGCACCTATGTATGGCAACTGCTTCGTCTCCTCGAAGTGAACAGTGCTGCTCATATGCCCATCGTTGATGGGGTCACAACTCGAACAAGTGGCTAGTTTCGTTTACTTTGGGAGCTGTGTTTCTGCTGGAGGCATTATCAGGAAGGACGTTTTTCTCCGCATCGCTAAAACCCGATCAGCATTTGTTAAGCTGAGGTACTTGTGTTACCTATGAGACGTCTGCCTCCCCTAAGATGTTTGCTGTTCACCCACGCACTCCATTGTAAAGGTAGAAACTATGCGCATCGGACGCACGCATGATTCTTGTGGAACAGAAACCCTGTATTTGTAATTTTTCGACTTTCTTTCTTCTCGTCAGTATAGCAACACTTTAACCTCACATTTAGTGCTAAGTTGCGTACAATCACACACTTTATAAAACGCCAGTATACACTTTGCTTATCCTCACCATTATGGTTACTTGCTCCAACGCTGTTATGAAATACATTATCGTACTCTTCACTGCCAATGGATTGTCCGTCACTATAGGCGTTGCAGCTGACCTTTATAAACCGGTAACTCAAAGTGCAGACCATCGAAACTGTTTTAACTCACTGCCAAACGATATTCAGGCCAAGTCAACAAACCTAGTCACTTCTGTATATTTGAAACAGGTTTGGCGATTTCTGCTACATCGGATTTTATTATTTTTTCCTGGGAACTAAGTCGTGCCTGAGGCTAGGCCCCTAGAGTAAACTATTTCATCCGGTTGTAAGTACAGAACAGTTTCGTGGCTCATGCTGTCTCATGAGTTAACTGTCTCAAATATTAGCAACAAGTGGGTGGACTTGTTGTAGCGTGAGCTATGAGAGCTATTCAGTTGAAGTGCACGAGTACACGGGATATGTTACTGTTAATACCAATGATAAGATATTCTCTTACACTGGTGGAATATACAATAGCGATGGGGTATTTTTTTCATATGAAATAGCGTCACAGAGGTTCCGTAGAATTTCTGTGATCACGTCGCAAACAGTTAGGATAATGCAATAAGCTCGAGAGCTGTCTCAAGTTGCACAACCACGTGTTCCGATTTCCGTTACATTGAGTTTACTCTGTTTGTCTTGGGAATCAAGTCGTGTGTCAGGTTAGGTCTATGGAGTAGGTTGTTTCATCTGATGACACTTGCAGTGGTGGTGAAACAATTGGAAATACTTTCGACTGACAGCGTAACAGCGGGTACAGTTCTGCGAAGACCGATGGTGGTAAGATTCCACTAAGGATGCGTCGTACCGGTGGGTTGTTGGATCGACATTGCTAACAGCTGAAGTCCGTTACAAAAAGCGAACTAATCAAACAAAGTAAGTTTTGGATGACGACAACCGAGAGAAGATAAAACATGCAGAATGAAGCAAAATTATTTTTCCCATTGGTTTGAAATGTATGTTTAAAGTGCTACCATGGAACCTGTAATTTGGCTTTGCTTGAAGGTGGGGCTTCTATTCTGGCATCGATATATGGAAGAATAGCCAATGAGCGATCTAACTAACTCTTTCAATCATCTGTATTAATTATGAAAAACGTGAGCTTACTTCAGTGTGATGCGAGGACACAGGGGAGGAGGAAATCGATGTACCGCGGGGGAGGCCGATTTGTGTGGGTTCCTGATTTCGGTTTTCATTCGGCTGGTCAGAAAGAAAAACAGGAAAGTTTAGTGTATTTAAACGTATAGACAAAATGTATCCAACACCTGTAATTGTTTCATTTGGCAATAAATCTCTAATATAATTTGAACATTTGCAAACAGCCCAGTCAAGCAACTAAGCTTCCAAGAATTAAGAAGTCTCCGTGCCCAAAAGATGCGTTTGGTATGAGGGTTAAATAAAAGTCTAAGTGTTCGAAAAGATGCTGCAATGATGACTTGTTGACTACATCATAATCCGGTCTAAATGAGCAAGGCACGTCCATAGATAGACAGTCAGATGTAATACACAGTTCACTGTCGCCCAAGGAGGATTTAGCCAATTCAGGGACCAGTGTCTTCAAAAGGCGTATGGCTGCAAAATATTCGGTTGCACCCATAATTCCCCATCGATCAACCTCCCACAACTACAAGGGAAAACAGTCATCACTGTTGGATAAGTCCAAAAACAACTACCTCTTGACTACGCCTAGTTATCATCCCACAGTTCACAACAGAAAAAGAAGTGCGTAGATAACCGAAAGACATTGGCCAATAGGATTACGTTACCCCTTACTCCTCTCCATGTTTCCTCAAACTCTCACACGGCATTCTACAACAACCACTATTTTGCAGCGGCTGGAATGTACTCGCACCCATCCCGTTATCAGATACATCTGGCGAGGTCAGCAAGTTGATCTCACGTTTACTCATATGTTCCCACATGACAAAGCTTGTTCATTGGCAAGTCAACAGCAGCTTAAACATGATGCCTCGGTTCCCTTCGTGTCCCTAGCTATACCGATAATTATCTATTTCACAGTGCCCCTACCAACAACCGTTCTACTGGCTAACTCGCGCGCGCCATACTCGCTTTTATCCACCATATGCACCAAGCTCGAACCCAGACACCCAGGCGATCATGCAACCGACAGCGATAATTCCCCAATACATAGCATGTTTTCAGTGATTCTGCTTAATGCCAGATTCAGAACCAACAAACTTCATTATATAAACACAGTTGCACGTTTCAATTACCCACAAGCGATCCTAGTCATTGAAACATGGTGTTCTTCAGGTACGCTTGACACTACTCTGATGATCCCAAACTATCACCTGTTCCGATAAGATCACTGTGCCAGAAAAGTTGGAGGTGTATTATATACGTGCACAAAACATTTACAGCTAAACATGTAGACCACTCACAAATAGAAAATGCCCCTGAATCCAGTTGGATACCCGTTGCAGATGCCTCCTCTTACATACTGCTCGCTGGTATCTACAATCCACCGAAAGCTTCTGACATGAATATCACCAACATTATTATTGCATTTAACTTCGCATCAGGGATGCCACACACGCACAGAAGAATATTGCCGGTGATTATAAGTTAAACACGATACTTTTTTACCTCATCCAAGTCTACCTCGCACACCACCTTTCATCCTTTAATCAGGGCAGTGCGCTGGACTTAATGTGTTGCTCATCTAAGCAGGTCCGCCAATGTACTGGATTTACTATTCACCTTGGGGATACCCAACCCACAGACAGAGATCTTAAACAACCTCCCAGGTAGCGGATAGAAATTGATCCAACTCAGCTTCCACATTGAAATGGTCACTAACAACTCCTCTATATCAGGACGTGCAACCCATAAGATAAATTGGGAATACTTTTAGCATTTAATTTCTTACTCTGTTTGGCGTGTATTCATCCTCTCTACCGGGGTGTACACGGCTGTAGAACAGTTCTATTAACAAATCTATCATGCTGTAGCCCTCCTTGCTCCACAGTATGTGCATATCCCTCACGACTCCAAGGATGTCGTCGAACGCACAATAAGCCAGAAAAGCAAAAATTAGCTGCAAGAATCAGTAAGAACTACGAGTTGTCACTTATATTACAAATGCATAAAATTATCAACAAACATGGTCAGTTAACGCGATGCAAAATGCAGAACACATAGTTCTACGAAGAAAGTGTAACTCGAGGGAGGTTGTCAAGGCAGTGTATCGTAGAACCAGTGACCGCTCTCCTCTGGTTTCTGAAATTGCTGACGGTGAGGGCCGCCTACTTTATAACTCAGCTGCAATCTGTGAATCATTCAGCGACCTCTTTGCCACCTCTATAAGTCTCGAAGCTGACCCCGCGGCTGTGTGCACACAGCTTACAGTAACAAACCTTCTAAGCAGAGTCGATATCACGCTTAACGGCATTTAACAAGTCATCAAGTCAATCAGGCCATCCTCCAAGCTGGGATCTGATGGCTTTTCACCAACCACTCTTACACTAACAGGGTCTGATATACCACCGCTCCTGATGAAAATTTTTACCCTATCGTTGCAGTCCAACCACTTTCCGGATCAATGATAAAAGTCATTTATTATGCCTCGGCACAAAGGACAGCGAACAATAAATTTATACGAACTAAGAAGCCTTGCTTTATAAGTTCCATTGGATAGTTGGTGGGGATATCGAAATACTACTACTACTACTTATTATTATTATTATTATTATTATTATTATTATAGGAAAACAGTTAGTACTTTAAATAAGAAAATAACGACTTATCGTTTGCTCCGCTGTAGTCCTGCAATCCGCTTAGATTCACAGCACCCACAGTTAACATCAAATAAATCCATGGTAAACTCCAGGTGTAGGATGGAGACGTAGCGCTAAGTGACGAAGTGTAAGTGGATGAGTGCGTCATCCAACCGTCTTTTAAATACTGTTAGTGTCGGTGCAGAGACGACCGATTCTGGGAGAGCATTCCACAGGTGACAGACACAAATAGAAGGGGAATTTCTGTGGCACTCCAGACGGCTATACTGTTCTTCGAGTTCCAATACGTGACCCTTCAGGGTTGTTTTGGTGCTGAGTGGCAGTAAAGGGAGACACAAATGATGTGGGTCTCGCGGAATCAAGTATGCCATAATCAGGTCGCCTCGTAGTCTGAGATAGCTTCCACTGAATACCCCCAATCGTTGCAGCCTCTCCTCGTATGGAAGATTGAACATTCCAATTATTTCTTAGATGCACAACGTTTTGGCTGTTCCAGTGCAGTAAGGTCGTGTTACAGCCATGGACGCCAGGCTTGAATTGCGTAATAGACATGGGGCGAACATATGCACTGAGCATTTGTCGAAATATGGAGCTGTTTATTTGTCCAAACGCCCGTCGCAATAGCCCGGCGTGTTGGCTCCCAGTCTTTGAGGCCTTTTTGGATTGCCTGGAGCAACCCAAGTTATCTTGAACCAAGACACCCAAGTCACGTTCGACAGCTGATTGTTGAAGTACATTCGTTTCGAGCCGGTACCAGTGGCTGCTCTGATATCGAATAGACGGTACCATGCATTTACATACGTTGAAATGCAGTAAATATTGGGTTGACCGTAGAAATGCCTTGGCTATATCACTCTGAAGCAGATGCTGGTCGGCGTTCACTTGGTTCCTGCGCCAAATCTTGTTATCGTCGATAAACATTAAGAAGTTTGAAGCAATTCGCTTTGAAAGGTAGTTAATAAACACCAAAAACCAAGGTGGACTAAGGACTGAACCTTGCAGCACACTACAATCGACTTGTATGAGGTCCGATAAAGAGCTCCCAACTCTGACCACTAATTGCAGTTGGGGTCGAAAGTTGGCAATGCAGCTTAAAAGTGGGTCATCGATCCCATACTGTTGGAGCTTGGACATTAGTATCCGATGGTCTAGACGATTGAAGCCTTGGAAAAATCCAGGTAGATCACTTCAACGCCCTCTCCAGCGTCAGCTGACTCGGCCCAACTACTGCGTGAGGTCAGTAAACTCGTTGTGTACGACCGCTGTCGACGGAAACCGTGCTGCTCAGACGTGCTGATGTTACAGGTTTCCAGCTAACACACAAGTGCATCGGCAACTATGGATTCCATGAGCATGGAGAGCATAGGAATCAGGGATACTGGGCGGAAGTTGGAGGGATCAGTGCTGCTTCCACCTTTGTGAATCGAGGCTATTATTCCAAGCTTCCACATAGCAGAAACTTGGTTCCGATCTAAGCTGTGCTGAAAACTTAGCTAAAGGTCCTGCCAGTTGGCTTGCTGCTGCTTCCAGTGCCTCTGGACAAATGGTGTCGACATCCGACAAGATGTGTTTGCATAAAGACGTTAACTTTATCAATACAGCCTCCGCGGTAAAAGTGATGTGGGTTAGTCCTGGCGGAGAGATGACAGAGTTTGTAGGATCGTTTGGTGGTAAGACCCTCTGGAACGTGGGGGCATACTGCATCCGAAGCGCGTTTGCTGCTTCCACAGCCGTTCTTGTTGGGCCATTGGCCGTCGTGAGTAGAGGAAATCCTTACCTCACCTTTAGTAGTTAGTTGACGAGCTTGTAAAGCAACTTGTGATTAGCAATGAAAGTTTTTGTGATGTGCTGCTGATAGGCGGCTTTGTCTTCTCTTAGCAGTTGAGTGCAGTGGTTACGTTGGGCTACATAGTTGTCTCAAGTTTCTGGTGCTGGTGCTCCTATATGCACTTGCTATGCTGCGTTGCGTACTGACATCCATTTTCCATTTCTGCTCTTAACGAAAGAAACTGGTTTGCACTTATTGCAAGCTTCTATCTCTGAAGCCTCTGCAATCAGCTGACTGTATATATTGATCAACTCTTGCCAGGCGACTTCCGAGGGTTCTTCGGCAAGGAACGACCAACTTGTAGCGCTGACGGGCTGAGGTAATCGATCGTAGCTTGTGATGGTTCGCACAGTCTCGTCCTTCTTATTCCTATATTCCGCAAAGTAGACGAAGTTCAAACTGATCAGTACGTGATCACTGCGACCCAACGGGCAGTCTACAACCAACACATCAATCATATGCTCCTCGATGGTGAGCAGAAGATCCAGCAGAGTCTGTTACCTGTTCTGCACCGAGTGGGCAAAGTGATGTGATTGTACAGAGGAACATTCGTTACGAGATCTTGTAGATGGACTTTGAATTTTCCTCCGATCATGGCAGGAGTTTCTACACAT